GATGCCCACCATTGTTCAAGTTTGAGCCGCTTTTAATCAGTCCGTCTCCATGAAGGTCTCTTCGCTGACCACCTGCTCTCCCTTCTTCAAGGGTGACACGGGCAGAGCATGTGAGGGGAAGTCTTGCCAACCTCTCCTCTCAGGAGCATCCTGGCGACAGTTCTTCCCCTCGGTCAGGTGAAAGTGGGGGGCCTGGGGTGTCTGGCATCACCAGCAGCAGCAACCACCCAAGGTGAATTCCTAGGAAGCGCCATAAAACACGCCTCCTCTCCAGCCTTTTTGCCAATTCCGACCCCAGCCCTCCCACCCATGGCCCAGTCTCCCCCTCTGCTGCGTTCAGAGGGTCCTTGGGACGCCCACACACAACTCACTCAGACATGACTCACCATCAGGGCGTTTCTTAGGAACGTGACAAGTTATGGGCCAGCGAGACAGAGGAAGACCCTCAGCCAGATGGCCTGACACAGCGGCTCAAACCTAACGCCTGTGAGCATGGCGCAGGCAATGGTTTTGTCCTGTGGTCTGTGGGGGTCCCCGTGAGTGGGAACAGCACCTGACAACATTTGGGTCACAAGTCCTGATTAGAACTGGCTCGGGATACTGTTCTTTGATCAGGGCAGCTTCTTGCCCTGGGCTGGCAGGCCCCAGCCGGCGGCTTCCTCTAGCAGGTCTCACAAAGTTTGTATTGCCACTGATAGTGCCCAGGGGCAGCCTGCTCCCTCCCACCCCCACTGTACCCCTGCACCCTTAGGTGCTCAGCTCTCTAGCTCCAAAAGCCAGCAGATCTTGCTCCTTAGACTAGTGCCTGAGGGCACCTTGCGCCACCAGCAAGCCGCTTAACCCAAGGCACCCAGCCTCCCCACGCCAGGGCCCAGAACACCCACAGCATCTACACCATTGCCTGCTTCCTCTGCGGGCCGTTGCTCTGCCATTACTTCTCTCTCCCGCCAGTGTGCGGTTCCTTTCCCATCTGCCTCAGCAGGAGGGAGCCTGGCCTCCAAGGGCGAGCTCCCCTCCCCACCCCTTCTCTCTGCTCACCCCTCCCGCCTCTGCTCTCGTCGGATAAAAGGTGCCACCCTAGCAAGAACCCGAAATTAGTAAAATGGCAAAGGGCAGTCACTGGGTTCAGGGTGATCACGACTTCAAACCACACTCCAGTCAAGTGGTAGCACCGTGGGTTTCTCCCTGGGCTACTAATCACAGAGTCAGCAGTTCAAAACCACCAGCTGCTCTGCTGGAGACTGGGGAGGCTTTCAACTCCTGGGAAGAAGTTCAGCCTCGGAAACCCACAGGGGCAGTTCTGCCCTGACCTGCAGGGTCACCATGAATCAGTCACCTTGCTGGCAGGCAGCGAGGTGCTTCGTTGTTTGTTTGATGTTTTTCCGTTTTGAATAGGGAAGTGACTCCATAACTCACCCAAATCATTCCCCCCACCATCATGGCCAGCTCATCCCCAGGTGAAACTGCCCCTCACCCAAAAATGGAGAGCAGCTACGTCCAGCCTC